AATTACTTCAAAATTATTTGGATATTCGCAGCTGCAAGTTCATTCTGTGTTTGGCAGCGATCGTGTGAACATTGCAAGGTGTCATCTCCAAAAGGTTTAAACGGAAATATCGATTTAATATTTCTTCTCAACTATTGTACAGTGAATGCAGTACCTTACAAAGTGCTTGTGTGAGTGTATGTGTATCTACCTGTACGGTTAAGGACTTGTCAGAAGATCAACTAGCTTGGGTAAGTTTTCTCGATTTTAATTGTTAATCGATTCTATGTTACATGACCAGGTGAAGACCACCCTTTGTATCAGTAGTACATGAATATGATGGAAGTTGTACTTTGCGGTGCTCTGTAGTTAAATAGGTAGCCATATATATAATTGTCGATTTATGTATCGTATAATAGCCAATTTAAGTTCACAACAAAGAGGAATTGTTCTTTATGTATGTATTTGTTAGTTTTTTCTGCATGTGAATGTATGTTTCTACCACACTCCTAACGTAAGGGAAAATGCTGGTGTGGAGACATAACTACTTTTAAAAAACTGTGTAATTTGACTTCGTTTCTTAAGAAACTAACCAAGTTATACCAATACAGCACTGTCGCGGAGAACCTAACGGGTAACCGGGGCTCCGGCTCGACGTGCAGGAGAAGGAGCGGGGTGGTTTTTAGTCAGTAAGAGTCTGACACTCCCTCCCGCCTCACCCAGGCGGGAGCAGTCATTCGATGATTTTCCCCCCTTAAAAAAATACCAGTACAGCACTGGCATACTTTTTTTATGGGACAATTCTGCCACAACCTCCCCAAACCGCTGCAACTCCTGTAAGTCAGGATCTACAGTAGATACAACCATAAAAACACCGGAACACTGAAGCTCGTCTCAGGGACATGAATAACTATCTTGGATTCCACGACGAAATAAATCAGAAGATATTAATAGAGGAGAAGAAAGACAAACGAAGTACTGGCAGACAGGAAACAAGCAATTATTGACTACTAGCTTTTACCCGCAGCTTCGCTCGCGTCACAAAAGAATAAAAAGTAGCCTATGTTACATATATCAATAAATACAGCGCCATCTATACCAATACTTTTGTTTTAAATCGGGAATATCAGTTTTTTCTGAGATAAAAAGTACGCTATTATTTAATCCGGACTTTACGTCTGCAAAAATTCAAAGCAATCGGTTTAGTAGTTACAGCGTGAAAGCGGAACAAACAAACAAACAAACAAACTCACTTTCCAATTTATAATATTAGTAAGGAAAGGATAGTAAGGATAACGTTTATCACAATCACACTCTTTACTTGATGGCCTGTAACGACGTAATTCCGTGTTTACTTTTTATTATTTTTGGTCAGTCATGCCTCATTGGCCGAGTGGTCGCAAGTGCGACTGCCGGGCAAGGGGTCTCGGATTCGATTCACGGAGTCTGGAATTGTGCTCGGTATATGACAATAGGTTCACAATTACTCATAACATAAATAGTGAAAAGTGGGTGTTACATTATATAGTGGCATAATGTGCACCTCTGGCTACCCCTTCAGGGATAAAAGGCGTGATGTTATGTTATGTTATGATCAGTCATAACAAAATACCCGGTTACTAAATGATGGTTGCAGATCACTAATATGCATTAGGGATGTTTAACCAAATAAAAAGGGGATTAGTGACACTTTCTAACATAATGAGGATAATCTCTCTTCCTGTTGTGACAAATAGCCGGTACCCTGCGCATACGCACACCGCATGAAACCGTTTATTAGGGATGACATCCATTGTATTAAGGATTATGTATTTTAATGACGTGTGACAGAAATGCATCATATTTTGTTTGCATTTTTTTTTTGTCATCTAAAGAAATACAATTGCAAATTGATTCAGTTATTTTAATGTAGTCTATTATTTAATTATCAACAATTTAATAATGGCGACTTCATTATTGTTAATGCGTTTCTATTTTACGGTGATTGTTAATCGTATCGGCAGGCAATTACACTAATTAGTTTTTATTAGTTTCACAGTGCATACTGCATACTATGCGGACTGCATAATTGTACCTAATAAATGAGCTAATTTTCTAATGAATTTTAAAACGAAATACTTACGCGAATCTGGTATCGATGTCCATATTATACAATAGATAATAAATAATAATAGATATTTGACATTTCACACTAAAATAACGTGATACGCATAATTAAGTCGTACCCTAATGCATTAGGATCTTTAAGCCAGTTAATAAAACGTTTGAATCAAACCTGCCGTTCACTTTGATCACCGGGACAGTCACTCTTGTCAAAATAATGAAGTGACATGTCGTAAAAACGTGACAGTTACCGACCGTAGACAAATGAGTTTGACTAAGGCCCGGATTATATCGGGTTTGATGTGTTACCCCTTTCAAATTCTATATTCAAAGGGTTCAAATGTATTCCAAGGACCATAGAACGCAGATTTGTATTTTTTTTTCATAGAAGCGAGGGAAATTGTAAAATTGTGGGTTAAGTGGCATTGTTTGACAACCCTAGCTAAGTTACGTTCGGAAGTACACGTTCTATGCTTCCTGCTTATCTATTTTTTACACGAAAAGGGATGAATGAATGTGAAATTAATTGAAGGGACGTACGTGTAAAAGGGTTACAGTTATTGGGGCAAACTTGATCCCTTTTCTATTATATTTTGTTAACTTCTTCAAGAAGTCATTGAAAATAAAGTTAGGTAATAAGCACTTTTTTCGTTGCAATACATTGGCCAAATTGAAATGCCATTCGCGTTTAATACCGAGCTATAACGATAAAAGTGATTAATATTTATATAAAACTTGTTTTTAGCTTGTTTAATAAGTATTTCACTTAGCCACTTATGAAGCTCTTAACATAAATTTATTAATTACACACTCGATCACTTTAAAATGATGCTGATCATTTGGTGTGGATACTTCGGAACGTTTCTATGAAATATTGGCGACTATCATATCACTTTTGATGGATGTTTTTATCGGGAAATAGCTATAAATTCTTCTAGTCACAATTTATAGTGTAGGTTATAAAAGAATAAATTCGATTTATATTAGTCCTTAGGATTGCAAAATCGATGCGGATTTTTATTTAAGTATACAGGAATGCAACGCTTGGAATGCGGGGTCAGTGAACTATGTTGCGGGAACATGGGGTTGGTACTACGGGATTACCTATTTGTTCTCAACCTTACGTAAAATAACAATACGTACAACAAAACGAATTTACAACCCTTGTTAGTCTGACAGAACCCTAGCTTTATTTTAAAATTTAGTCCGGTAGGCCATTTTGACGCGCGGCTCGTCAATATTGCCAACGTAAATAATAAGTCCTTCTGTTGCCATGTCGATAAATGCTAATAACCAATATAAGTGTGTACAGTGTATTTAATTTACACAATATATCCGTGTATTCAGCTGGTGTTTTGGTAACATTGTGCCAATTACACAATTAATACTTAATTGTATGTAACTCGGACAAAGTTTTCCTCGTAAAGTTTTCGCGTTTTATATTTAATAACAATAATGTGAAATAGGTACCTACGAAGTTTAACCAGACTTCAATTTAATATAACTAAGATAGGTACCCACCTAATTCATAATCATTGGTGGTAATTTCATTATATTACTTATTTAGGTACAAACTTACGTATTTATGTCTGAAACATGATAACAAATAATATTGTACACTTGAATGTATTATTATTAAGTACGTTTATTTCAAATAAATCTTACCTACCTACAGAAAAATTACATAGGTAATTCTCATTTTTAACGCTCGTAGATTACTTATTTAATTTTCTTCTACTGGCTATTGCAGCTGTAATATTTATTTGAAATTTTATGACATCCTCTGAATACCGACCATGGGATCATAACACCACAGAGTGGTAAAGCTTCGCAGAAATATACAAATGCAACGTAACTATAAAAAAGGCTCGTTAATACAAGCATCTGGGGTCAAGACCTTCATCTCGGTTAAGGAACGCGCTACACCTGTAGTTACAGCTGCGGGACCTCACAAAAGCTAATTGTTTGCTGTGTAGACGTCCAGTAAATAATACGTGGCAATTCATCAGAATCGCTCAGGTATTTCTGCTTCGCGCCATAATCCGCCGCCTCAGGAATGTTGACCGTCTGGCTTCGATATCTGCAGCTGCTAAAAAACAAAGCGACACAATCTCCCCGTAGCAAGGCGCGCAGCCGAGTGAGTGAGGCAAGTCAGGCAAGTCTAGCCGTAGCCGCCGTGAACGGTTCGCCTCCTCATTCCTCGATACACGACTTTTCGACGGACCAACACACACTCGCAAAACTGCCACACACACATCCCTACTTTCGTGTTCTCTGAATGCCGCTGCGCTGATTTCCTTCTTCAAGCGACCCCTCCACCCCTCCACCCCTCGAGACAAACGCGCTCACCGAAATTCTTCTGCAAAATTCTACTTCAAATTCATCCGAAACATATAAAAAATGTTATCATGGATTCACTACAGTAAGTTGAGCTTACGTTTAGATAATATCCAACCAGGATATGTACGTATTTACAGAGAATTTCGTGAATGACATCGAATTAGCCGGGACGCGCGGGTGAGAGGGGCGCTACCGCATCACCGCGCCGCCGATCGCGAACGCCGCTCGACGACCGCTAGTCGCTACTCGCAGCGCGGTTCGTGCAATACGTTCATCTAGGTTGTAGTCGGTAGTCGTGTCCACGGCGCCCATCGAATCGCACGCGCGGCTCTCCTTAGAACCGGCCGGCTCCCGAATAATGTTTCAGTGCTTGACAAACTCAATCGGAGGTCTCGGAAGAAGTATCGTATTTAATAATTTACACTGTATAACCGATCGCATATTCTCAGTGAGTGTTACGCAGTGTGTACGGAAAAAACTTTGTCGAAGATTCTGAAGAATCTTGTGTAAAATTGTGTAATACACCGGCTGCCGCCGGATTGCGTTTTGCACAAAACTTTTTGGTAAGTGTTGAATTTTGTTCGTATTAATTTTTGCTATTAATTATATTATGCAGCGTTACATAAAGTTTCAAATGTAAGTGGGTACTAAATACTTAGGTACTGTGCGCGCGGGGCGTTGCCGGCTAACTCCTACCTATACTATGGGTTTAATGAGTTTTTCTGCGAATTGGCAGCGCCCAAATTCTTTACCTTATTGTTGCGGGAAAGCAACTTACAATCAGATTACCTGTAATTTTGGGTAGTTGTTACATTATAATTATAATATTATCTAGAAAATATTTTTTGCAAAGTACATTTAAATTTTAAAGTCGGTACATACATCCTTACCAACGGTAGGTCTGTAACCTACCTATTATTACCGTATTTTTTCTAGAATCAAAGTTTTAATTTTTTGATTATAATTATATTGTTGCTACTTACTTTTGAAGCTCACTTTTATTTTTTCCATTATTTTCTACTAAATTTTGCACAACGAAAATGCATCTTGGTTAAATAAAAAATTAGCCAAGGTCAAAATTTTCGAACGATTATTTTAATAAATATTGTGAAACAATTATTTCTAACTTGTAGTTTGTGTAATATTAAAAAGTTACCACAACTACCTACTCATTGGTGCTATGCAGATAAAAGTAAAAACAAATCTATGTAGGTATTGATAATGTTTTGTATCGAATTGCTTTCATTGTGCAATATTTATGAAATTTATTTACAAACATGAAAACAAGTATTTCATAAGTGTTCTATTACTTTGGCAACAAGTAATTCGATAAATAAAGTGTATAATAATATTATTGGCGTGCATGTAAAATAAAGAAAAATGTTCGAGTAAATTGTACCCACTTTCATTATTTTTTGTGAATGTTAAAAATACGCTATAAACTGCTTTGTCATTAGATATAAGTCCTACTATCTGCCTCCGCTTTTTAAGTAAATCTGTGATGTGATAATTCTTGCAAGCTTTTATTTTTTACTAACTTGTCCTAATTTTACTAACCATGCCTAAGTTCTTGAAAACTTTCAATAACTTTAAAAACTGTTTCTCTTGTTGTGCGCTTAAATTGGCTAAATTATTTACGAAGGGACCTTTATATTTCGCAATCTTTTCTTATGTATTTATAATGTAGGTATTTATTACTTTCGTAGATATTTGAAGGTAGAAAGGTGAAAAGTTAATAAATAAACTAATCTATCTTTAATGTGCTAAGTTATGAAAATTCAGATGCAAAAAAATAATAATCAAAGTGCCACTAACAAAATTATGAATCACTGCTGTAGTAGGTATGTCGCGTGCATTCTATTGAATGCACAAATTAGCGGGAAAACAACTCGTTGATTTGCATTATTATTAGTAAACACTCATTTCGCGCCGATCTGCGCTTGTAAACAAAAACAATTTTACGGAAATCTTTATCTCAACTCAAGTTGAGCGATGCACGCAAAAAGTTGGCGGGATTAGTGATGGGACCGCTCTCGTTCAGGTAAAGAGAAAATAATAAAAAAATGGCGGGGGTGGGTCTCAGGACAATGACTAATTGTTATTTCTTAAAAGTGGGATAGGGCCCAAGGCCGATGTACTCTTTAAAATTGTTTGGTCTCGTATCCAGACTTCAGTCTAGTTTCGGGCACCGCAGTGGACACTTCCTCCTTAGTGACACTTGCTTATAATTATCATTGTGCTGTTTCGGTTTGTGATTGTTTGTAAATAACAGGGTGCTCTTCTCCTGTAGTGACTAAATATTTTGTGATTTTTTTTGAATTTTTGGTGTTATTGAATAACAGTGAAATATTTTCGTGATTTGTGAACTTTGAAAATAATTAGTTATTGATTTTATTTATTCAATATCTATCTACAACAATTATGAGGTACTTTTGTTTTATTAATCTGGATTTTAACACAAATATTTAAAACTAAATTTATTTTATTTTATTTTGTCTTATTTATATATTTTTTAATTTTGTATTTATTTTTATTGACTTGCAATTTTTTCTTAAACCATCATACTTGATTTAATGCATGAAATTAATTTTAATCATTATTAATTTTAAAACTCTCATTAGTTTTTACTATTTTAAATATTTTATTATTTATTAACATTAGGTTCTTATTGTTGCAGACTGCGTGCGTTGTCCTCATCGCGCGCATCTTCCCTGTGATAAGAGGGTCCTGTGATATCGACGAGTTCGACTTAGCTTTAAAATTAGTTAGTGTTTAGAAATATAGAATTAAAAATGTCGCCACCGTTAGACTCATTCGTTCAATTTGACATCTGGGATGCCTTGGACGAAGACTCTGTTCGGTTGACACAGACTTCAGAATTCTGGACTCAAGTTCAATATGAAGCAGATGGATTGGACATACTCCCTCCAGCCAACTTTTCAGACCCGCTACAAGAAAGCGACGAAGACTGGAGGGTAATGGAAACACAAGAGGAAGAAGAACCACACAAAGAAAATATTGTACACCATGATTGTATGTGGGCTGGTTCTTGTGCAGATTTAGTACATCCAGGAAATACATTTGTCCCCAGCGATCCGACCACAACACCAACCACACCAGGACAAAGTCTTCTTCGAAGAGATATGTCTCCATCAAGACCTGAAACTCCCCCATCAATAGATGGCGATGAACCGCCACAGTTCCGTCATTCGGTAGATGTCGCTGGCACAGCTCTACGCCTCTTGAGAGACTCGGCTGTGGTAGCAGCCGACCACTCTTATACCCTGGCCCGGCGGCACTTGGACTACCTCGGCGTGCAAACACCCTCTGACTCATGTGAATCAGGTTAGTACTTCATTCTGAATCATGCAGTTTTTATTTAAACTAGATATTCTACGTTACATGTCTCTAATTTAATGTGGACCTTCGTGAAAATCTCATTCAAAATGTCAGTGGCAAAGTTACGATTATAATCATTTAATATCTTTAAAGTGTTGTCGCTTTGATTTGAAATTCAAATGGATGATGTTAGGGCCTCTTTTGCTTATTGGGAAGCCACTGATACGCCGGCGACGATCGGTGACCTTAAAAACAAATTCGAAATGTTTACTTTTTGTTTCTCACTACGATTATTTTCGATTTTATTATTACGTACAAAAAGCAGCTATGGTTATTAATTGTGTTCGGACATACATTATTTAGTTCAGAATATTTTATTATATCTAAGTACTATAATATGAAAAAATAAAACCAAGTACCTAGTTGACTCAAGTGGTTATATCAAATTTAAGCTTAAAAGACTCTATTTCACAAAGTCGTAAGATGTTTCTCTAAGTATTCGCAAAGTTGGGTTGACCGGGAATGTCGGCAGGACGCAGGCGCTGAATGTGAGCGCGGGAAACTGCGCATATCGACCGCTATCCCGCGTCCCCCGCCGCGTCTAGACGCACCCGCTTTTCCGCTCTTCCGGAACCTTCGTCTATTGCGACCTTGAACGCCTCAACCTTCCTTAATGTCAGATTGCGCAACGTTTGTAGCCGGCCTCTCATCTCCCGGGAATGACATGTTTAATTACAATTAGAATTAAAGTTGTATGTAAACTAAGTAAAGGGTCTCGCGCCGTGTCACGGGCTTAGACGGAACTAAGGTCACAAGTACATCGACCGAAACGTTCCGACCTTGATGCATCCTCCAATTGCAATCGGCGCTTCCCGCCGGCGGCGCAGGGTTATCATACTGGTATTTATTAAATTGATGGATTCGATCTACAAAACTTGATTAGTTTATATATTTATTTTCGTTATATAAGGTTAAATCAATAATTATACAATTCGACTCGAATAATCGTTAATAATATTTTTGTAATTTATAATTTGAGGTTGGTGTTTATATAAATGGTATTCGATCATGATCAACAATGTTAATAATACTATGCACAGTAGCAATTTAGTTATCATCGATAACAGTGAGTAAGGTCGCGATGAGCATGTTTGATTTGATTAAATTGGCCGCGAACGATTGTTTACATTTTAACTTGTTGCGTAGCTTTTGGATGTAAATTTAATAATGTTGTCGTCTTTCATAATTAAATTAACAGTAAGCTAAGTACAAAATGAAGTAACCGATACACGGGCTCCCTTACACTCAGCAATCTCGTGTCTAGTCCGTTACTTGTGTAAGAATGCAGTGGAATGAAATGGAATCTCATTGAAGTGTAGCTTGCTCGGCTTGCTGGACCGGTTTGAAACTCGGTATTCTCATGTCCAGCAATCGCCGGATGACAATTTGATAGACAGCGTCTTAACAATCGTGATAGAACATCAGTCGGCAAGCGCCTTTTATCAGATAAGAATATCATTATAGATACCTTCTAAAATCTAATTACGAATTCAGTGTCTGATTTAAAATATGAATATTTTTTTATAAAAATTAAAAAGAATAAAGTGATAAGAAAAAAATCACGTAAGTGTAGAGTACATGTTTCACATCACTACAGTACGCGGCGCAAAGAATTTACGACGGGCGACGCATGCGCGGTTTTATCGCTTCGTACCTACGCCACGCAGCCAACCGTACGGCCGTAGTTGTCACATTTTCGCGCCATTTTAGTTAGTAACATAGCTATGTTGCTTACCAACTTTTAAATGACTACTTCTTGCTACTAATTTTCTTCGTTGTCACATATTATATACCTAATTATAGGTACATAATATTTCTGATAATTGAATTAACTAGTCGAGATAACTATCTATGTTTAAACAGTGCGGGTGGTTTTGACCTGACGCTACTATCTTGGCAGATTACACAGTCTTGATTAATAAATCTTTACTCGAATGTAGGCCACTGGTTTAGCTATGAATTGTAAGTTCCTTTAAGGGGCAATTTAGGACGCAAAGATCCGGTTTGTTGGGCGCCCTAAACATTACAGTATCAATCAGTGAGCCAAGGCTATGTTCTAGTTTTAAAGTACAAGAGGCTGAATGTGCACTTACTTAAACCTTCATGTTATATTTTAATTTACTTGTCTATGTCTAAATAAATTTTGGAAGATTCGAATTGGCTATGGTTTCAGAAATAATCAGAATGAAATGTCAGTTTCCCGCCATCCGCCATTATTGCAATTCAGTCATTCATTCTTATCAGACAGGTTCGCGTGCAATATTGTATTACCATTTTTCTTTAGTCTTAGAAGAAACATTAATCGTGTCACCAAGCGTAATAATAATAATTCAAAGGCCTCGAACGCGTAGTAAAGCAATTTGCGCGGTTTATTCTATGTATATAAATATCATAAGTAGCTATATATAGGTATAACCGTTATATAGCTACCTCCATATTCTTCACGCGCTGTGGTAATTGCTAGGAATCCACAACTTGCTTATAAATTGACAGTTGCTTGTAAAGGAATTTGCGCGCGAATTTGCATTCTCTCGTAGTTTTACTTAAAAAATCTGAGCAATGTGTGTAAAATACTTTAAAATGAATGCTCTACTTCTGTCGGTATGTCCAAGTACCTCACCGAGTGATAGTTGACACTACACTGCCCTAAATACTGAGGCCGGTAGTTTAACAGATATTTAGACTAACCTAGCCTTGCGCCGTCCGCCTAGTTACCGAGCCTGGCCCACATTTGATTTTAATACTAAGTAGTTGCTTGTATGATTTATATTCAATAGCGCCGATGTTAAATCAACTCCAATGACAGTTTGCACAACTAGATTATGTACGTACCTACTTACATGAAAGTCGAAATTAATTTTAATCGTATTGTAATAGTTCGATTCGACTGGTAATAAATTCAATGCTAGCGAAAGTCTTGTTTGTCTACATGCGCATAATATAAACTTGAAACCGCTCGTGATAAAGATTCAGATATTCAAGTTCAAGCTAATGGACTAATGTACTTACAAATACACACTTCAATTAAAAGTACATTAACAGCTATTTAATAAGGTAAACAAACAAATGAAGTGGTTGTTAAACGCTTCAGTGATCGCAACGATCACAAACGATAGAGAAAGTTTTTATCTGTAAATATTTCGGCGCGAATCGCAGCACTAGGCCAGTAGGGCAGTGTAACGAAAAATAATAATATTAAATAGCGCTATCAAGCAGCGATAAAGTAATTTCACTGTTCGATCGGCATGCATGTACATACATAGTGGAAAGGACCTTGGGCCTTATCGACACAGAATATGCACTTAGATATTTAAACAATCGGTATGAATGTGTTGATACGCTCACATCGCGATCGTAGCGCCCGCCATCTTGGCCTCCGCGCGACCGTCGCATTATCAATGCCGATAACAATAGTACTTATTACAACGTGACACCCTAACATAAATTTGTATTGTCTTATCACGAAAAAAAAAACTAAAGCCACGCTGACGACTGATAAAACGACTTCGCAACAAGATAATGCTGTTATATTACTGTTTGATCTCGTAACATCGCGAAATATTTTAATGAGGAATGTTGTAGGTGCTCACTTGTATTTGCTAAGCCGGGCGCGTGTTCTAAGTCCACTTACAACTCACACAGTCTGCGTAACAATTCGAAAATGGCGAACACTTATCGAATCGTAAAAAATAATACTCCAAAGAATTGTTGATAACACGTGACTGTCTCGGCGACTTATGTGATTAGTTAGGATTGCAAACAATATTCCATTAGACGTATTATAAAGTTCCTCTCGGCGATTATGTAACGCACGCAGTATGATCGCAGATTTAATTCTAATACTCACGTTTTGCCAAATTCGTCACAATTATAATGTCGCGCGCTTTATGGAAACCATACTCATTATATTATATGTTGCTTACATTTTAAGGGTGTCTTTAGACCACGGTGTGGTGACGTTTGACCACAGCTGAGAGCTGTGCTTGTGTGAGTTCAGTCAGGCATATCTAGTAATAAAATTATAATTCCGATCCGGTTTCTTATTCGGTCGCAGATGGGCGTGGTGGCTGGTGACTGCCCGGCAACACGAACTACTTACAATGACGTAATGAACTGCCCATTTGAATGCTAAACACTAAGGAAGTGTCGTCTCTACAGGTTTTTTATAAGTTATTGTAGTGTAGGACTATGAGTGTATGACATTTACGTTTTACTCATAAAGCTAAATCATTCATTATCCTTATGGACGAGTCAAAGCTGTTCTATTGGCTGTTTGATTTCTATTATTCTTAAGTCGTAGCCGTCGTAAGTACTTACCTACATTTATAATTACTTGCATTTAATTATGAAGTAGAAACTTGTATAATTAGAGACTAGACCTGTAGAATGAAAAGTAACTGTCGTCAGGCGGCCCTACCCTACGTTGCGTAGTCTAGGTAGTTGCGTGTACTAAGTTGCATAGAGTCAGAGTATCACTCACCCCGTCACACCCAGTCTACCACTGAGAACAAAAGTGCTATAAAACCTTTTTCCAAATTAAAAAGAAAATATAGTTTCACACTCGTGGTTTTACACACTTAAATTCGCTTAGGAATTCGCATGTTTAATGTTAATGAGCCTCCATACACATATGTCTCATTAATTGGGTAATAAAAAAATGGTTGCGTCACATTTTGTACGCATATGTACCGTCCATGAACTTCCGCCGGTGCGAACAGCACTCAAGGTCGCTCGCTGATGGTGGATCGATGCGCCATACGATAAATTACGAACGGTCTATTTTAGCCGACTACGAGTGGTTACCAGTAAACCAGATGACCGAGTTTTCTTAGTTGCGTAACACTACAGAAATAGTGGCTATCTGTCTGTATATTGATGCCTACGCGATTATTTGATACGTACTCGCGTATCGGCCCCTTATCATTGATAGTAGCGTACGATTTTCGTCGTAGGTACCTAGTGTGTACGTAGTATTAGTAATGAGTTATTTTTATTTGTTGTTTCCCACGTCTACTGGGTGGTGAAAACAGTACCGTCATTATAATTTTGGGTTCGATAAGCATGACGTATTAAGTAATTAAGTTCAGTGGGAACATGAACACCATGATCAACATTAGCAATTGACTCAGTAAACTGGTACGAGTTACGTACTTCTAATTAGCATACACTTACATCAGTCATACAGATATACAATACAGGCTGTGCTAATTTTCGAAGATCCCTTTAAAATATTACTCACTTTAATTTTTTTTACTTCCAAGGTCGTTACACTCCATTAGGATTATCATTTTATCGCGACGACGAAATCGCTTCAGATTAAGTAAATAGGAAAATTTATGATAACGCAATACTATCGGAATTCGCGACTGCTATGTCTGACTTAAGTAAACGGTTATGTCCATAAAGGCTTCCATTGCATTATATGAAAAAAGGTTTTATTTATTTTTTAATTAAGCCGACATTACGAGCAGGCTGTATAAGATGGCGTGCGCCGCGTGCGCGTCACGATAATTTTTAATTATCGTGCTCAAATGCCAGTGAACTTGGCCTCAAGCCGTGGCCAGCGGAGCGTGTACTAGCCCCCGCCTCACCAGGTCATACTCGACGAAACCATTGTACTTAGTGTCTGCATTCCGTTTTCTAACGTCTTTACTTGTTTACATTCACTTGACAACCATTCCCCTGTCCAACAAGTGGTAATTCACACGGACATTTAGATTTTTACTACATTCCGGATCAAGGAGATGATAACTGCATTCTGTTTATCTCCTGTCGTTTTCCCAGTACACCATACTAAAAAAAGTTGTCGTTTAATACTTTCTTCCTTGTTTAATACCCAACTTTGCAATTAAATTACGATTACCTTTAATTACGACAAGAAACGTGAAACTGACAAAGTTATAGGGAAAATGTTTACAACGCTTTGTGACCAGGGAAACGCTGTACCGGTTTAAAATAACTGTCTACAAAGATCGCCGGCGATTAATAAGTTAGTCTGTTAAGTCTGCAGATCTATGACTCATTGTTTTCTCACGCTAAGGCTACCTAGAATTTGTGACTAATCAGGCTCTACTAGTCCCCACCTAGCTAACAATGCTTATTCATTGTTTATCTTCGAAAATGAAAATTCAGCAAAGTTTTTATAAAGTTCGACGTCTTGGCTGTACAGTATCTAGACATGAAAACATATGGGCTAGTATAAGAGAGAGAGAGCTGGCGATTTTTTACCTCACCACTCGTATACCGGTCGGTCGGGCGAACAATAAAAAGCGGATTATCTCTGGTATAAAATTGGAACGGCGGCGGATCTGAGAATCGCGTCTCGAGTGATGGAGATATAATAGATATGCACTAGACCGGATCCCGGCGGGCGGCGCACCGCGACAATACCGGCCGTATCGCCTTACACGCAGATCTGAAACAAATACTCTCTCGGGCGACCGTTAATCGTGTTGGCGCCACGGAGAAAATCGTCACGTGAAAATTGACTCCCGCACAATAGCCGCCTACGCGTACTGTCAACGTTATTTTATTTACGTCGTTCACCCCGCGGTATTTCCTTTCGATTACACACTAATCTGTTTCACTGAACCCCTTCATTTTGTCACTTAGGTCTTTAGCTTTATTGCGCGTAAAATTCGACTAATAGTTTGGGGTCTAGTCATCGAAAATTTCCAAATATGGAGATTCAGTCGGTGGTACCAGTATGGTGTATCCTAATAGGGTGTGTCTATGTGGCTCGATATAGCGCCAGCGATCTTACCCACGCCTAGATTTAGACGTAAGCGAGGCGTGTTTGACGACAGGCGCCGATCCTCGAATTAGATCTACGCGTAAGCGATAAGCGTCTGCGTAACTATGCGGAAACGTAGTAAAAAGATCTCGTTCGTGTATAAATTTATCGTCGCGCCGTTCGATAAATGTGTCTGATGAGCATTTTTCGCGCAAAACTGCGCAATTTAATGAACCTATTTAGCCGCGTCCCTGACTCGCCGTTTCGTAATCGAATCGGCCAGCTGCCCACGTAACTTGTTTCTATTTCTAGTACTTAAGCATTGGAGATTTAAACGGAAACTCTCGTCCTTGTTAGGTACATAAATAGCATTGCAAGCAACACGTTGTAGCTCGCAGCCGGTAACCTTTAATCACAATGAACCGCTGACATAATTATTTGTTGGTGTAACCGGATAGTGCAGGCGAACGGATTCCGCGAAACATGCACTACGACGTAAACACGAGTCGGACAAACGTCGACATCCGCACTTAGGTGCAACGCGATCGTGAAATGGAAGCCCGCACCTACATAGCTCATTCATAGAAGTCCACAATGCACTCTCAGCACTCGTATCGCTTCATTGCTGCACCGGACGGAATTTAGGCCGTTTCCGCAACGACCACTATTCGTATTACAATAAGCTTAGATGTAAGTACCTACACCACAGTAAAAAGTGGTGATATCCTGTTCATTTGGGAGTCGTATGCCTCTATGGTTGCGGTTCTAGAAAAGACAGGTATATTATATCAGTGAGGCGCCCGTGTTGAGGCGGTCTCGATGGACGCCATACAACCCCGTACGTCTCACACATTTGAAATACCAGGCGCAATGCAACGTGATCGATAGTGCAGCTTTTAACTCGGCGACTGAACCGGTCCTGCTGGTATGTCAGTTAGGAACGTGTAAACCAGCCGGCCGTCGTTATCGTGCAACTCTCACGTGACAGTTAATTTCGATCGATGCTTTGTTAAATGGTGGCGGCGGAGGCCGGAAAGCGTGTCCACTGCTCGGTAATCCGGACTCCATTGAGTGCGGACGTTGCGTTGCGGCACCGCACCGCGCACGCGCTCTCGTTTTGGCGCGAATGGCGCGCCGTGACGTCAGGCGTCTGGATCGATGGCGGCAGACGCTGCGGTAGTACGACGGGGTCGACGCCCTCCCCCGCCGTACGCCGCCCCCACCCCCTCCCGCGCACCTGACCACTGCAGTCGCATCTCCCCAACTAGATCTACCCCCTACGATCGTATACAGATGTAGCTATGACAATCGACGCCCGCCTTTTATGGTGATGTGAGCGTAATGAAAGATATGAATGAAAGTATGCAAGCAATGAAAACTGTAAATACGAGTTTTTAAATTATGGGTCAATGTATTCAACGTATGTTCTCTTTGTTGCAGAGGAGGAAATAGACGTGGTCTCGCTTGGTACGCAGCAGCCGCTGCCTCCTTCGCAATCTCACGTCCGTACGGACACTCTGCCACGCGTGCCCTCTGCGCAGGAGCGCCAGCACATACAGCGCACCGTAGAGACTGCAATCACGCCGCGCTCGCCGCGGCCTGCAGCCAGGAAGCGTCTAGTACCGCCGCCAAGTATAGTGGCTGCGTCGTCTCGTCGCCGCGCCCGAGGTCCTGGCCGCCGTGGACGCCGCTCCAACACTGATACTGACTCTGAAGCGGAATCACCTGAGATCGAACGCCGCTCCATCCACAATGACATGGAGAGACTACGACGCATTGGTCTCAAGAATCTATTTGATGAACTCAAAAAACAGATCCCGGCCACTAAAGACAAAGAGCGCGCGCCTAAAGTTGTCATACTGCGAGAAGCGGCCGCGCTCTGCAAAAAACTTAACTATGAAGACATCGAGAGGGAAAAGCTGAGGAAGAAGCAACTCCAACTTGTGACTAAGTTGAAAAAACTACGCTCTGCGCTCTCATCGCGCTACGGTCGAAACTGAGCGCGGCGCGCTACTGACTGGTAATCAATTTGTTCCAACCGAGGGACTGTACGTAGCCCACTCGACTGGACACTTATGGACTGTCAACTTTTTATGTAAGTCGCGCTTCTCAACGCTCTAGTGAACGTTAGGAACAGTTTATCCACGATGTGGTAGCACATTTGCGACCCCGTCCGTTCGGCCGGTAACTCCCTTGCCGTTTGATTGCAAAAATGTTCTCAGTCGAGTCGGTGTTCGGGAGTTTGTTATATTTCAAAGAAATTCAGCTTTTACGGCTTACTCTGCTTCTGGCAAGGTCTCGAGAGTATAATTATGACACTAACCGCCAGGTTTGTTTTGCTCAAAACGATATTTTGCAGTGCCAAAGTGAGCCATAAAACTGTTGTCAACGACAAATCCTAGGTCTTCAGTAAAATATCTTAATAGTTACAGACTGCTTCGTGAACTAGTAGACTGGTTTATACCTCTAAAATGTTTTTTGAATTTATCATTAAAGTATACATAGTTGAAATAGCACATACAGATTTACTCAGTGTTGACAGATCGAAAATGATATGACATTTGTTAAAATATTGTTTCGAGACGTTGATATGAAGATTTTTTACTGGACCTTCCATTAAATAGTTAAGTATTTTAAAGGAGCATGAATTTGTCAGTGCTGTAAATATAATGAGAACGTGCAGGTAGTTGAAAGCTTTGTCAAGGTGGTCAAGCGCTTGTGAGCAGACTGGAGATGTACGGCCACTATATATGTTTTCGGCCCGATTCGCAGGATTTTCAATTTTAACCTTTGACTCGCATGAGTTAGGTATGTGAAGTGATACATCAATTACTATTACTTTTAATTGCTTTAAGTAAACTATTATTTTAACTGCTTTAAGTAAATTGCATTTTAGGATAGGCGAGCTTGTTTAATTAGTTTATTTTTGTTATTTTGTAAATTTTTAACACTTATTGTTTTTTACGTTAGAAATGCCCTATTAACTCGGTACCAATCTTCGTTAATTTGGAATCGTTTGATAAAATTTGGGTCGTTTTAAATCGATAATGTTTTGTACAATAATAGAATGATTCACATACAGCTTCCATTATGAGATGATTCATACGATTTTATGTGTAATGTATATGCAATTTTATATCATGATAAACTACATCGACGATAGCATGCGATTGTGGTAACGGCTTTCTAAAGCGACTTTTTAATAAGAAGTAACTACATAGTGCCCTTTTGGGGCTTCTATCCTTTTGATAGCGTTTTAAATGCGGACCATTCGCGAAGATTTTATTTTCTTGATGTTGAAATTAGACCGTTCCTGTTCTTTGTTCACTATCGCGTCTTGGTACGGATTTATGTTCACAATGGTACTCATTAAAATACTCTGGCAGCCTTTATACTTATTACCACATTGCTCTGGTACATTCTCATAGTATAGTATTTTCGAAGATTTCTCCATTAATAAATATCACAGCAATGAGCACGCTCCCCAATTACATGGGGCCTATAACAGCCTCTCCTTTCGGGGAATGAGCGGCTTATTGTCATGTTTCGTAAATATTTAACTTTGATTTGTTAAAATAGTTGTGGACAGACCATTTGTACCTACGTGTGAACGGAACAGACACATGAACTTGCTATCCGACAGTGTAGTTTCCCTTCATTTTACGATCATCGTACCTTATTATAATTATAAACATTATTATAATGTTAAGCCGTTTAGAATATTGAAATCAATATTAAATCATTCACATGTTGGGATTACAATAGAAACACCATATTTCATATGATTTATGACATTAAGGTAATATGTTTTTATGTAAATTGTATAATCTCAGCGACAGTCATCGATTCGTAAGAAATTAATAGACTGTGTATTTTGATAATAACATCAAGTCTTATATACCATATAATATGACGGTCCGAAGAGGATCGATTAAAAAAAATAACCAAGACATAGTTCCTCATAGTACCTACTAATAGTAAATTTTGCATTTTTTTTCTTTATATTTTTTTATTAATGCAGGTAAGTTAGTAAAGTACTCGCAATAGTTGGTTTTTACTGAATAACACAACCTGATCAGAATAATAAAGCGCCAAAATTGTGCAGAAGTGAACTCGAGCCGGTGTTGATTGTTTCGGTGTAGCCGCGACTTTATTCTACTGGTCAGGTTGCCGAAGGTTGATGTTTTATCAAGCACAGGTCAGCGACGTGAGTGTGAAGGCTTTAATTGTGTGAGGAATGTGCCTTGCTATGTTCATGTATATATATATATTAGGTTTATACTCGAATTAGTTGCAAGACATATTTTTTGTGAACGATGTCTACGATTAGAATAGCGCTGTTCTAGGTAGTGTACATACACAGACAAGAGTTATTGATATTAAAGAAGTTTATCTTATCTTCCACTAGGTGATTAATTGTACATACAATTGTAATGGTAATACTAAGTATAATTATACTTTGATCAATCTTTTTTTACTAACGAGTCTTTTTCCTAGTAATCGTTTAGTTTTCTTAACTGGAGAGTTACGGATCCTCGAATGTTGTACCTGCATTTATTTTTTTTTTGTTAATTCATATCTTGACATAATTAAATAAAGATAATAATGGTTTTAGTTATCCAAAATGTAATCGGTTGCTTTGGTGATATGACCAGTGTAATTAGACACTTAAGAAAAAGTCAGTAGTTAATTGTTAATAGTAAGAAATGACAGCTTTATAAAAATCGGAGACAGAATGTAAGTGTTGACAAGTGTAGGACGAACACGTTATTGTGAACACTATTGTGACAAGGCACATTTCCACCACTGCCAAAATGGAAAGGAATTATTGATAAGTTTAGGTCGAACTGTATATAGTTTAGGTCGGGTTATAAAATTATAAGTCCTGTTATATGTAAAAGATTTCCTTTTATTCTTTGTGTAGTATCCGTATGTAAACACCTAGCCGCCGCCGGCAGCCCCCGATGTAGTTATTGTGACGAGAGGCCGCGAGCCGGCGGGGTGCGCGCGCGCCGCTACAGGGAATGCAGGGCGCAACATAGATTCCGCCTAATATTAATATTGCACTCTGCAATCTTTGAAGCGACGCTCTTATGTCTAAGGACCTTTGTACTTATACGACTAATTTTTTGGGATACTATTGTAACACAGAGATAGTTTTTTTTTGGTTTTGTTCCTTTATGTGTATGGAAACACTGATACATTGTATTGCATTGACTATACATATTAAACGCTTACGTCGGATCCGGAGAGAGCTTGGGAACAGTGGGCTAATTAATGTGATTTTTATACTTATTCGCTGTAATTTGGGATAAATAAAATCATTGTATTGTATAGTATAGATTCTGTGATTATGTACCTGTTGGGTACGTTTGGGTTTCCATAGCCCTATCTGGTCTGACTTAATAAAAAAAAAACATTTGACTTTTGATTTTTATTCTATTTTCCTTATTTATTCAATTACCCTTCACTGAACAAATGAATATGCCATATCAAAGTTAAGTAGAAACAAAACTACAAGATAACATCACACACACACACACACACACATAACACAAATTACATTATAGTAAAAACGAATAAGGCATTATCTTTGAAAACTACTGAAATACAGATTAAAAATATCTATAATGAAGACCATAAACAAAAGACAATCAAAGCGTAGTTCTTGAAAATGCTTATGATGTCTAAGATAACTTAGTAATAAATTGAAAAGGAGTCTTCATAAAACTCAAAGAAAGTACTAATAATTATGGATACTTCATAACAGTGAGTGAATGTAACAACTACCTACTTGTGGCGCCCAGTTTGGTGGTTCCATGTAATAGAAAAACTTGCTATTAAATACTGAGAGCTTTCAAAAAATGACTGCACGGTTGGCGCGGTGGTTGGGCAACTGGCTGCCGCGCAACGTGTCGTGGGGTCGATTCCCACACGGAACAACTCTGTCTGATCCACAGATTGTTGTTCCGGCTCTGGGTGTCATGTGTACCTATGTGAACTTGTATGTTTGTAAACGCACCCACGACACAGGAGAAAATCCAAGTGCGGGGCAATGTTTTCTAAAAAAAAACTACTAGGTGCAAAATAAGTAATAGTTTATCTGATCCGGAAATCGAACTTGAGACTATTGGGCAGAGTGAGCAGTCGCGCTTTCGGCCACTAGGTCGTCGAAGCAGTCAGAACTACGATATCTATGGACAAGAAGATAATAATATCGTAAGTAGGTATGTGTTGAACAATTTTAACTATGACCTTGGAAAAATCTACCCTCAACATTTCGTAAGAAGTTTTACCAGGAAATAACTATTGACCAGAGGCCATAGGGATACCAAGAAATAAATGGAAACTTATTTAATCTTAAAGTTACACATACAACATATCATCATAACTTTTATCCCCGAAGGGGTAGGCAGAGGTGCATATTACGGCACCTAATGCCACTGTACAATGTAACACCCATTTTTCACTATTTATGTTATGAGTCCCATGTAATAGGGAGTGAGCCTATTGCCATATACCGCCTATACCAGGCACAATTTTTAATTTTAACGTTTACTTTTATAGATAATCCAGACAAAAAGACATTCATGAAGTCACAGTAAATAAATATCTCTTAAAAGTGAGTTGGAAGTGTGCCCGATATATTATGGTTGATAGTTATGTACTTGTTAGCTACTTAAACACAGACTGTCGTTGGATTGACGTCAAAGCCTTTAGTCCGACTTTCTTGAACTATAGGTTAGTAGCTATCATTAAAGTGAAAGAAGAAAGTCCATATTGTGTATGTGTAATGAATCTAATACATTATTGCAGCATGTTTTAAAAACAAGTCGCTATCTATGTAAATAGGTATATATATAATTATAATAGAGAGAGAATGTATCAAGTAGATTAACAATGTATGAAGAGATAATAAATAAACAAAGCTATATGTACTCGTACTTTCTGATTCTAAATAGATATTTCTATTAATAACAACAATATTATCACTTTGGCAGTAAATCTAATTCCTTTGCTTCAAAAGAAGCGGAGCGAAAAGTTGACACCTTGACAGCCGTCAAAACCAAAATAATAGTGAAGTTCGTGCGTTTCGGTGTAACGATGGCTCTCCGTGCAGTGATTTCTTCTAAAGTGCCTATGGTGATAATTTTGGGTGCAACAGGAACTGGAAAGACTAAATTAAGTGTAGAATTAGCACAAAAGTTCGTGACAGAGGTCATCAGCGCGGATTCAATGCAGGTAAGTTACCGACAAGCCATGTTTGTATCACATTCTAACCTCAAAGGTTTCATCGCAATTTTCTCTGAACAGGCAATCAGAAAGTTTCTGAATATGTTTTCCATGCCATTAGAAGACAAATACAAATTTGGAAGATAAAGATTTTTTTGGTTTATAATAATTTGCGGTAATATTTTGGTTAGAAGTAGATTCTAACCTCAAAGTATTGTTTTGATTCGTTTAACTTCAATAGTATGTGACGGTTAACTTAGTTTTGTATTGGAACGAGTTTATTTAAAAGGCAATTTAACATAGTACAATTATGGGCAGGAATATTCATTAAATTATCACATAAAATACATACATACAGATGGTATCACGCTTCCTTTTGTTCCATAGGGGTACCTAGGTAGACATAGGTCAGATAGGTACAAGTACTACTTAATAGGTACCTCCTGTGTATATATTAATGTTGATCAAAATGAGATCTCGAATGAATGAGATTTCTAATAGTCGTCTTCAAGTACTAATAAGAATCTAAGAATCTAATTAGACCAACCAATAAGACGCATACTTTCCTCTATCTGGAACAATTTCCGATATACTAATACGCTGGTAAGGTTAGTTTTTATCATAACTTATATTTGCATCAAAGAGAGCAGCATTATATTTGAACTTGAGAATTTTAACTCGTCGAGTACCGTCATTATAGACACAATTATAGAACAATAGGTTGCGGTCACCAGTGACCGCTTGGTGTTTGACAGTTTAAACATCCCGGGTAATAACAACAACCCTCTTGTGTATGAGTAGTGTACTAACATAACTGAGCAGGTTGTTTATCCATCTTTTCTTATCACTGCCTCGTTGGCAGAGTGGTTGCAAATATGACTGCCAGGTAAGGGGTCTTGTGTTCGATTCCTGGATTGGGTACAATATTACTGATCTCATTCGTACCATGGAGTCTGTAATTGTGCCCGGTATATGGCAATAGGCTCACTCCCTATTACATGGGACTCATAACATAAATAGTGAAAAGTGGGTGATACATTGTAGAGGTACAGTTGCATTAGTGCCGTAATGTTCGCAAAGTCAAAGTCAAAGCATTTATTTCAATTAAACCATAATTTGGTACTTTTGAAACATCAACAAATACAAAATAGATAATAGTCTGTCAGTCAGTCCGATTTTGCTCCACACTAAATTGTCTAAAATTTCCCGAACTGTAAAAATAATGTGAATATAAGATTCTTTTGTATGTTTAACCAAACATAATTTATAAAATTAATTTTGTGAAATGTTAATCGGAAATTGTCATTCAGTCTGTTAATGAAGGTAGCTAATACTCGAATTTCTAGTATTCATTGGGGATGTGTATTATGATAATTAATTTATTAAATAGTCGTTGCTTTATTAGACGTTTATAGTATTCTAATTGGAAAAAAATGTCGTAGTGGCCCGAAGGCTTAAGACACTGGCTTCTCATGCATAAGGAAGCGGGTACGAAACCTACCCATGGCAAGCAACAATGTGATTTTTTTTGGTTAACTGTATGTACACAAAGCACCGCTAATTAGTTCGAGGCGCTACACATCGACATTACTATCATTTACACAGTGAACATGTGTGGGTAATTTCATATTAATAAATATGTATAGAAACATTCGTTCTATCACACACATCTTGGTATTACATATCATTTTTGTGTCGGTATACGTAATATTTTAGTAAATAAGTTTAAATAAAAACGAGGGTAAAGATAAAAATACTCATAACAAAGTTTGAATAAATCGAAATCAAAAATAATGAACGATCGAGCAATACAATACTTATATAAATATAGAGCATTCTCATTGTATTTTTATGTTACTGAATGATATACAATATTTCGATGTTCTCAACTACGGCGCGCTTGGCGCAATGGTTATCGCCTCCAGTGGTCAAGTAAAGTGCCACCGGATCGATTCCAGCATTCACATGTTGTTTTAGTATTAATTAATCAAATATTTGAAATGTGAAATTAGAAACAATTAAATCTTTTCTTTTTTTCCTATCCTATTTTTCTAAATCTTATGTTAATTTTAATAGTAAATACTTTAGATTTATTTATACCTATAATATCCTTTATTTATATTTTAGTTCTAGTTATTTATTATTTAGAATAATTTAGAATGATTGGAAGAACTTTAAAGTTAACATGTGGTATATAATTAATTATTAGATATAAATATTGAATATAAAACCACATATTTGTATAATTAATAAATTAATTTTAATAAAAAATAGTATTGTTTTATTTACCGACTGATTTGCTTCTTTTATAGCCTGATATTTATATTATATGACAAAAAACAAAAAAAAAATAAATAAGAAAAACAACAAGGTAAAATAAAAAAAAACTTTTAGCTGGAATAGAACCCACATCATCATTGATCCTTGAAAGACGATAAAAGCGTACTCATTAACCAATCGACCACGAGCACTACGATAATTACAGTGAAAATGTCGGGTCATATCAATGATTGTAAATAGTTTTAACCTTACCCATGCATTAAATTATAAAAATACGTATACCGACACAAGAATGAAAATACCAATGTGAACGTGGTGGACGAATATTTTTATACACAGTAATATGAAATTACCCACACATGTACATTGTGTAAATGACAGTAGTGTCGATGTGAGCGTTACGAACTAATTAGCGGTGCTTTGTGTACTTTCTAAGATTATCTAGACACCACTGACAAAAGGTGAAGGAAAACATCGTGAGGAGACCTGGGCTTATAATTTCTAATTATAAGTTTGTATTATAACTTTCGTGAGACATAATAAATAAATTAATAATTTATTTAAAAAGTTTCTCGTCAAATAATTATGTGAGTTAGCCGAAAACATAATAATTCGGATTATAAGTTTGAAATCGCCAACCCGCATTGAGCAAGTGTGGTTAATGCTCAAACCTCCTTGTGAGAAGAGGCTCTGCTCAGCAGTGAGCATTTATAGGCTGTTAGTTTTGTTGATGTTGATTCTAATTGGATGGTGATTGAATATTCCTATATTGTGATTCATGATCTTAGGTATATTTTATAATATCGCTACTGGTGAATACTACACGTCAACAGTCCGCCACGAAAGAGGCGTGATGTTATGTTACGTCAATAACAATATAACGGTACAAAAATAAACGATTACACTCGAACCCACCCCATCACTGACCCGGTCAATGCATAGCAATTACTCCTGAACTTTAACACAACAACAAAAAAAAAACAATACACTATGGAATCCGTGTGACTTTAGCGTTCCACAGATTTAAAATTGCATGTAATTATTTTCGTTCAGTTAGACCCGCCTAGAACAAAACTGGCTGGCAAAAAATATGTCTAACAATGGGGCGTAGCCTGTGAATCACCGGTCAGTATCCATATATTTATATTAGGTATAAATGCGAAAGTGTGTGTGTGTGTCTGTTTGTTTGTCCGTCTTTCACGGCAAAACAGAGAATTTATGTGAATTTTTAAGTGAAAATTGTTGAGGGGATGGAGAGTGATATAACCTACTTTTCTCTTTCTCACCCCCTATTTTCTTAAAACGGGGGAAGAGTAAAAGTTTGTATAGGACAATTCGTAATTTTGAAGATAAAAAGCTAAGCAATTGTAGGTAACGCGGACTATTATTTTGTTACTAACAAAAAAATCGTTCATAATTTTTCTATTAAAACTTCACACTACGACTAATAGGAGCCGACCAGCGGGTGAAACCGAGTGGGAATTGCTAGTAGTCATATAATGTTGCCGATGGTAAAAAAGAATTTTGATTTGTGGACACTTGTGTGCGCCTGAGGCAGTATTAATTTGCAAATGGCTGATTGATGGCGGGCAGACATTTAAAAGTTAGTTAGCGATATGCTGATAGTGTTGCAGGTTTATTTTGTTCAACAATTTAACTGATATTGTATCCGGGTTGCTTTGGTCGGTGTTGCTATAGCTAATAGAGTGTCTAGTAATTGTCTGGCATGAAAAAAGTGTATGGAATAGAAATCTTTTAGTTTTTCTTAATTCTTTAACGAACCAAACTTTCGCCTTGCATTTTTTTATGACGTGTGTCGATGTATTATAAGTTTTGTTTTTTTGACTAATTTGATTCTAGTTTCTTAAGTACCCACAACACACCCTTTGAAGTACTAAGTGTATCGTGGAAAAGAAAACTGAAGACTGTAGGTAAAGGTCAACCCGCTATCTGCCCATTTGTAGCATTTGCGACATTTAAACGATATAATATTCACACGCGAATTTTTTGTATAACCATATCTATTTATTGTTCATTGTTTGCTTACACAATAACTTTTTCAGTAACTAATCTGTGACAGCAGCAAAAGAAGATGGCAGCACTTAATATAAAAACTTGATCGCATCGCATATTTTTAAAATCTAATGTCAAATCCAACCTAGTTCACCAAAAGCGAATGAAATATAAAATAAATTAATGCAAAATTCAACGTCATTTAATTTGATTCAACCCTTTGAGTACCGTCATTATAGACGCAATTAAAGAACAATAGGTTGCGGTCACCGGTGTCCCCGCGGTGTTTCACAGTTTAAAATTAGAAGGCGGGATTGTACGTAGCAATACCAACTTCTAACTGGCGACGCGGAGGTTCTCTTCAGTTCTCTGATACTAGCCAGCCGCAAAAAACGCGCGCGCGCACACTTTCATTTACATCACAATGACAACGTCTATCGATCCTATTAATTTAAAGTAAGTGAAGATTTGCTGTGTGTTATGGCTGTCCCTTATTATCATTGTTGTCTTTCTTATTTCTTTGTTAGAAACACCATATAAAATTATATTATTATAGTTTTAACTCGTCGAGTACCGTCATTATAGATACAATTATAGAACAATAGGTTGCGGTCACCGGTGACCGCTTGGTGTTTGACAGTTTAATCATCCGTAACTGTTCTTTCAGTAGTTATTATTAAAATTGCCAGTTAAAAAAATTGCCAAAGTAAAGTTGG